ATTCTGTTTTCTTTACTGTGGTTTTATTACCTCTGTGACAGCTATTAAACCTTAGGAACACTTCGATCTATAGCAGTCCTTCCAAAATACACTGTACAGACAGTCTGTGAGAGGTAAATTCTCTCAGCTTTTGCTTATCTGGAAGTTGTTTAATCTCTTCTTCAAATTTAAATGATATTCTTACCAGATAAAGTATTCTTGGTTCGAATAAAGTATTCTCGGCTCGAGGCCCTTCTGCTTCATTGCATTAAATACATCATGCCACTCCCTTCTGGCCTGTAAGGTTTCTGTTGAGAAGTCTGATGATAGCCTTATGGGCTTTCCTTCGTATGTAATCTTATTTCTTTCTGTGGCTGCTTTTAATAGTCTGTCCTTATCCTTGATCTTTGCCATTTTAATTACTATGTCTTGGTGTTGTCTTCCTTGGGTACCTTGTGTTGGGAGATCTGTGCACCTCCATGGCTTGAGACACTATCTCCTTCCCCATTTTGGGGAAGTTTTCAGCAATTACCTCCTCAAAGACACTTTCTATCCCTTTTTCTCTTTCTCCTTCTTCTGGTACCCCTTTAATGTGAATATTGTCCCGTTTGGGTTGGTCACACAGTTCTGTCAATATTCTTTCATTCTTAGAGTTTGTTTTTTTCTCTCTGTGCCTCAGCTTCTTTTTACTCCTCTTCTCTAGTTTCAATTTTCCATTTCATTTATCATGCCCTCCACCGTAACTGATCTGCTTTTAATACTCTCCATTGTGCTCTTCAATGATTGGATCTCTGACCGAATCTTTTCCTGAGTTCTTTAATATTTTTCTGTACCCATGAGCATGGTAATGATTTTTATTTTGATATCCCTTTCAGAAAGATTCATGAGGTCGATGTCATTTTAAATCTTTCTCAGGAGTTGTATTCATAATTTTACTTTGAACCAGGTTCCTTTGGCATTTCATATTTGTATATGGCACCCTATAGTTCCCAGTAGCTCTGCTTTCTGGAGCTGCTCAGCCCTTGAAGCGATGTCGGGGTTCGCAGGGGAGTGGTATTGGTGCCTGGGGGGATGAAAGAGCTGTTTCCTGTGTCCTAGCTGCTATGCCTGCCTCCACTGCCTGAAACAGTCGGCCAGTCATACAGGTGTAAGTCTCTATGCTTTGTGTTTGTTGTTGTTGTAGACCGGTCTTCCCTCTAGCTGGCCAAACACCAGGTTAGGGTTTGCCAGTTTGTGAGCCAGGTGGGGCTGGCCAGGAGAAAGGCACCAAAGGCTGCATATCATGGAGGGGGTCCCTGGACGTATGTAGCCTTCCAGGGAGCTAGAGCTCCTGAAGTTCATGAAAGCTCCCAACCTCCTGGGCAGAGTGCACCTGGACAATTTTGCCTACCTGTCCTTTCTGCTGAGCAGTAAGCTCTGTGCAATCATTTTCCCTTTAGCAGCCCTCTTGCTGTTAGTAGTCTCTCAGACTGCCCACCTTTCTCTTGTCCCAGAGCAGCCAGATATGGATCCCTGCTTTCCAGAAGTGGCTGGAATCTCAGTCTCTCCAGGAATTCTGCCTGTCTTAGCTTTCCAGCCCCCTAATCATGAGAGTACCACGCAAGCACCATGAAATGTAGGTTTGTGCTCCCAGAGCAGATCTCCAGAGTTAGGTATTCAGTAGTTGCAGGCCTCCACTCCCTCCTGCTCTGTATCTCTTCCTCCTGCCTGTGAGCTGGGGTCAGGAAAGGGCTTGGGTCCCGCCAGGCCCCAGCTTTGGTACGTTACCCTGTTCCGTGAGGTATATTCTTTTCTCCAGGTGTATGTAATTTGGAGCAGCCCTCTTTCCTGTTGCTCTTTCAGTTCTACTAATTATATTTTTGTATTATATGCAGTTTTAGGAGGAAGCCTCTGTCTAACCTCTCACGCTGCCATCTTTAATCAGAATTTTTATTTAAGAGATTTTTGCCTATGTTTTCTTCTAAGAGTTTTATGGTTTCATGACTTACATTCAGGTCTTTGATCCATTTCAATTTTACTTTTGTGTATGGAGTTAGACAGTGGTCCAGTTTCATTCTCTTAAATGTAGCTCTCCAGTTTTGCCCATGCCAGTTGATGAAGAGGCTGTCATTTCCCCATTGTATATCCATAGCTCTTTTTTCGTATATTAATTGACCATATATGCTTGGGTTTATATCTGGGCTCTCTATTCTGTTCCACTGATCCATGGGTCTGTTCTTGTGCTAGTACCAAATTGTGTTGATTACTGTAGCTTTGTAGTAGAGCTTGAAGTTGGGGAGCATAATCTCCCCAGCTTTATTCTTCCTTCTCAGGATTGTTTTGGCTATTTGTGGTCTTTTGTGGTTCTGTATTAATTTTAGAACTGTTTGCTCTAGTTCGTTGAAGAATGCTTTTGGTATTTTCATAGGGATTGCATTGAATCTGTAGATTGCTTTAGGCAGGATGGCCATTTTGATAGTACTAATTCTTGCTATCCGTGAGCACAGTGTATTTCCATTTATTACGTCTTCTTTAATTTCTCTAATGAGTGTCTTGTAGTTTTCAGGGTTTAGGTGTTTTACCTCCTTGTTTAGGTTTATTCCTAGTATTTTATTCTTTGTGATGCAATTGTGAGTGGATTTGTTTTCCTGATTTCTCTTTCTACTAGTTCGTTGTTAGTATATAGGAATGCAACAGACATCTGTGCATTAATTTTGTATCCTGTAAGTTTCCTGAATTCAGTTATTCTAATAGGCTTTTGGAACTGATGTTCATTTTAAATGTTGTTTTATATCACCACCTTGAAAGTAAAAATTTAATTATAAGGTAAAGAGAAGCCACCATCTTGCAAAAAATATTGTCAACATATCTAATAGAAAGCATTAATACCCCTGCTGTGGAAAAATTGACAAAGATATAAGATGGCAGTCCATAGAAGAAGCACTATGAATGGCTTGTAAATATTATTACCCAATTATGATTATTATTCCCATTTCATAGATGATGAAAGTGAAACAGAAACAGGTTAGGTAATTTTTCCCAGGGTCCATAGTGACAGAACCATGATTTAAACAGTCTTCCAGAATCCAAGTATTCATTATTATACTAATGAGGAAGAAAAGAAAAACATGAAAAGGACATGATTTGGAAAGGAGATAAACTTTTTATCAAAGACATTGGAAATAACCTAAATAGTGCTTATACCTCAGATTACTTAGTAAACTTAATAACTCAACAAACATGCTTAGCAGATGTAAAGATTGTGCAGTATGTATCAGTCTTTCTCAGACTTGTAGGTCTTTGGATTCTCTTTAAAATTATTGAGCCCCAAAGAGCTTTTACTTAACGGGCTACATTTGTCAGTTCTTACATTAGTAGAAATTAAAAGTGATAGATGTTCTAATTACAGGAATACACAAAAAACTTGTTATGTTAGGTATCATATAGTCTCTGGAAACCTCTATTCTATACTTAATGACAGAATGTAAAAAGGAAATATCTTACTGTTATTATGAAAATAGTTTTGACATTATGGACCCTCCCTCTGTGAAAGTCCTTATAGATTCTCAGTACTTGGTGCTCTGGGACACACTTTGAGAACCACTGATCTGTTTTCAATAAAACTCCAACTTTATGAATTTTGACAAGTGGATTTTTAAATGTATATGAATGAGCAAAGGGCCAAGAAGGAGGAGAAATAATTTGAAAAGTAAAGACGGGGGGGAGCTTGGCCTATTAGATAGCAAGAATTATTAGCTATGTTAATTAGAAGGTTACAGTATTGGTACAGCAGGTTTACCAATAGAAGAGAAGTGAGCTCAGAAGCCAACCCACGTGCATGTGGAGTTTGGTTACAGGTGGCATATTAGATGAGTGGGAATAGAAGCACTGTTCAGTTAACACCTCTGGGGAAAAAATGAGAGTGGATACCTTCTGCAATACACAAAAAGCAACTCCATGTGGATGAGTGACTTAAAAATATGGACAAATCTCTCACCTTTGCAATTTCTTAAGCAAGACATAAAGAATAAAAAGTACCAACATTAAAGACTGATAAATTTACCTATAATAAGGTTAAAGAACTTGTTCATCCAGACATACCTTAATATTAAGGGGAAAAGACACTCCTCAATGTGGTTTTTTAACACATTTTGAGGGTGGTAGAAAATGGGACAGGGAGGCATCCCCTATGGGTAGGTATAAGGTATAAGCTATGTTCCTCTTTTGGGTGGTAGTTTCACAGGTATTCTCATAAATACACCCACAAATAAGCAAATGTGTGGACACATGACAGAGAGTAGTGAACCAAGTATTAGGGTAAATTTGATTTTGTCAATTGGGTTCCCATCACCCTTCTCAAATCTACCCCTAAGAAACTCAATAATGAATAAAACATGGTCTATCTCAAAACTGTAATTTAAAAAAAAATCCAGGACCAGGAGGAGCCACGATCACGGCATGACTAGGGCAGTGGAAATCTCCTCCCAAAACCGTATATATTTTTGAAAATACAACAAATACAACTATTCCTACAAGAGAGAAAAGAGGATACAGTACAACACCTAGGCTACATCTACATCTGCGAGAACTCAGCATCTCATGAAGGGGGTAAGATACAAACCATGGCCCAACGGGACCCGAGCACTCCCCCCACCCCAGCTCCCCAGTGGGAAGAAAGGAGTTGGAGTGGGGAGGGAGTGGAAGCACAGGGCTGCTAAATATCCAGCTCTAGTAATCTGCACCAGGAGCGCAGACACACATTGCATGGTGTGCTGGATATTAGGGAAACAGAAAAATAAAATCTGCGAGTGGGTCCCCTCAGCCAGCTCCCCTGGAACAAAACAAAAGTGAGTGCTTTTTGAAAGTCTTAAACAGACAGGGGCCTCACAGGTGGATGGAAGTGTCCCGGCACACTCAGCCCAGCAGCTGTGAATCCCAGGGAACTTCAGGCACCCCAGCTCCCTGGGAGGCAGTGCAGCCCTGAGGCCCCTCACGGCAATAAACAGCCTGTTGTTCCCCCTGCAGTGGCATGGCCCCTGCAGTGCCGGAGCAGCCGGGGAGTGGCTGCGTGCACCTACTCACAGCGGTGGAGCAGCCAGGGAGCGGCCGTGTGTGCGCACACAGCAGCAAAGCAGCCGGGGAACGGCTGCACCCACAACAGCCACCTAGAAACACCTCCCGGCATGCAGCCACCCGGGCCAGACCCACAGGCCACTGCTGATGCACAGCTGCCTGACAGGCAGAGGAAACTGGGGAAAGGCATGAAGGGCACTGTTCTCACAGGAGAGCACACCAGGTGCACCTTCCACTCCCCGCAGGGCTCTGGGCTATACTGATAGTGACCCCGCCCACAGCAGCTTAGGGGATTAATCTGGAGGCTGCACCAGGTGTGCATGTAACCCATACAGGCAGCAGAGAAAGGCGAGGTGACCAGGAAGCAGGAAAGGACTTTGTTCTCCTACCTGACACACGTGCTATCTACCTACAACTACCTCTATCTCCATGAAAAGGCAGAAGAATTTGGTTCAGAATTACACAGACAACCCCTAAGAAAGGGCCCAGGGAGATAGATTTAACCAGTCTTCCTGAAAAGGAATTCAAAATAAAGGTCATAACAATGCTGATGGACCTGCAGAGAAATACGCAAGAGCTAAAGGATCAAGTTGGGAGGGAGAATACAGATCTGGAAGGAGTTAAGAGCAGACTGGATGAGGTTCAAGAGGCCGTTAATGGTATAGAAATCAGAGAACAGGAACACAGAGATGCTGAGGGAGAGATAAAAGGATCTCCAGGAATGAAAGAATATAAAGAGAACTATGTGACCAGTCCAAATGTAACAAACAATATTCACATTATAGGAGTACCAGAAGAAGAAGAGAGAGAAAAATGGATAGAAACTGTCTTTGAGGAAAGAATTGCTGAAAACTTCCCCAAGCTGGATATAACCATATAGACCACAGATACCCACAGAACTCCCAACACAAGGGACCCAAGGAGGACAACACCAAGACTTATAATAATTAAAATGGCAAAGATCAGTGACAAGGACAGAGTATTAAAGGCAGCCAGAGAGAGAAAAAAGGTTACCTACAAAGGAAAACCCACCAGGCTATCATCAGATTTCTCAGCAGAAACCTTACAGGCCAGAAGAGAATGGCATGATATATTTAATACAATGAAACAGAAGGGCCTTGAGCCAAGGATACTGTATCCAGCATGATTATCATTTAAATATGAAGAATTTAAATTCCCAGATAATTCCCAGAGAAGCAAAAGTTGAGGGAATTTGCCTCCCACAAACCACCTCTACAGGATATTTTAAAGGGACTGCTCTAGATGGAAGCACTGCTAAGGCTAAATAGGTGTCACCAGAGAAAATAAAATCACATGAAAGAAAGCAGACAAACCAAATACTAACTAAAGGCAAAAAATAAAAACAACTCACAAAAGCAGTCAAAGGAAACAAAAGAGTACAGAATAAAACACCTAACATATAAAGAATGGAGGAGGAGGAATAAGAAGGGAGAGAAATAATCATCAGATTGTGTTTATAATAGCTTAATAAGAGAGTTAAGTTAGCCAGATAGTAAAGAAGCTGCCCTTGAACCTTTGGTAACCACGGATCTAAAGCCTGCAATGGCAATAAGTACATATCTTTCAATAATCACCCTAAATGTAAATGGACTGAATGTACCAATCAAAAGATACAGAGTAATAGAATGGAAAAAGAAGACCCATCTCTATGCTGCTTACAAGAGACTCACCTCAAACCCAAAGACATACACAGACTAAAAGTCAAGGGATGGAAAAAGATATTTCATGCAAACAACAAGAAGAAAAAAGCAGGTGTTGCAGTACTAGTGTATCAGACAAAATGGACTTCAAAACAAAGGGAGTCACAAGAGATAAAGAAGGGCATTACATAATGATAAAGGGCTTAGTCCAACAAGAGTATATAACCATTATAAATATATATACACCCAATACAGGAGCACCAACATATGTGAAACAAATACTAACAGAATAAAAGGAGGAAATAGAATGCAATGCAATGCATTCGTTTTACGAGATATCAACACACCACTCACTCCAAAGGACAGATCAATCATACAGAAAATAAGTAAGGACACAGAGGGACTGAATAACACTAGAACAGGTGGACTTAACAGACATCTACAGAACTCTACAGCCAAAAGCAGCAGGATACACATTCTTCTCAAGTGCACATGGAACATTTTCCAGAATAGACCACATACTAGTCCACAAAAGGAGCCTCAGTAAATTCAAAAAGATTGAAATTCTACCAACCAACTTTTCAGACCACAAAGGCATAAAACTAGAAATAAATTGTACAAAGAAAACAAAAAGGCTCACAAACACATGGAGGCTTAACAGCATGCTCCTAAATAATCAATGGGTCAATGACCAAATTAAAACAGATCAAGTAATATATATATGGAGACAAATGATAACAACAGCACAAAACCCCAAATTCTGTGGGACCCAGCAAAGGCAGTTATAAGAGGAAAGTATATAGCAATCCAGGCCTATTTAAAGAAGGCAGAACAATCCCAAATGCACAGTCTAAAGTCACAGTTATTGAAACTGAAGTAAGAAGAACAAATGAGGCCCAAAGTCAGCAGCAGGAGCCTGACATAATAAAGATCAGAGGAGAAATAAATAAAATCGAGAAGAATAAAAAATAGAAAAAAATCAGTGAAACCAAGAACTGGGTCTTTGAGAAAGTAAACAAAATAGATAAGCCCCTAGCCAGACTTATTAAGAGAAAAGGACAATCTACACACATGAACAGAATCAGAAATGAGAAAGGAAAAATCATGACTGACCTCACAGAATTACAAAGAATCACTAGAGAATTCTATGAGAATCTATATGTTAACAACCTGGAAAACCTAGAAGGAAATGGTCAACTTCCTAGAAAAATACAACCTTCTAAAACGGACCAAGGAAGAAATGGAAAATCTAAACAGACCAATTATCAGCAAAGAAATTGAATCGGTAACCAAGAACAAAAATCCCTGCACCAGATGGATTCACCTCTTAATTTTATTAGACATATTGAGAAGACATAATACTCATTCTCCTTAAAGTTTTCAAAAAATAGAAGAGGACGGAATACTTACAAACTCATTCTATGAAGCCAGCATCACTCTAATACCAAAACCAGACAAAGACCCCAAAAAAGAAAATTACAGAGCAATATTCCTGATGAACATAGATGCAAAAATACTCAACAAAATATTAACAAACTGAATTAAAAAATACATCAAGAGGATCATACACCATGATCAAGTGGGATTCATCTCAGGGATGTAAGGATGGTACAATATTTGAAAATCCATCAACATCATCCACCACATCAACAAAAAGGACAAAAACCACATGATCATCTCCATAGATGCTGAAAAAGCATTCGACAAAATTCAACATCCATTCATGATAAAAACTCTCAACAAAATGTGTATAAAGGGCAAGTACCTCAACATAATAAAGGCCATATATGATAAACCCACAGCCAACATCATACTGAACAGCGAGAAGCTGACAGCTTTTCCTCTGAGATTGGGTACAAGACAGGGATGCCCATTCTCCCCACTGTTATTCAACATAGTACTGGAGGTCCTAGCCATGGCAGTTAGATAAAACAAAAAAATACAAGGAATCCAGATTGGTAAAGAAGAAGTCAAACTGTCACTATTTGCAGATGACATGATATTGTACATAAAATACCCTAAAGACTCCACTCCAAAACTACTAGTACTAATATCTGAATTCAGAAAAGTTGCAGGATACAAAATTAATATACAGAAATCTGTTGCTTTCCTATACACTAACGATGAACTAGGAGAAAGAGAAATCAGGAAAACAATTCCATCCACAATTGTATCAAAAAGAATAAAATACCTAGGAATAAACCTAACCAAGGAAGTGAAAGACCTATACCCTGAAAACTACAAGACATTCTTGAGAGAAATTAAATAGGACACTAACAAATGAAAACTCATCCCATGCTCTTGGCTAGGAAGAATCAATATTGTCAAAATGGCCATCCTGCCTAAAGCAATCTACAAATTCAATGCAATGCCTATCAAAATACCAACAGCATTTTTCAATGAACTGTAACAAATATTTTTTAAGTTCGTATGGAACCAGAAAAGACCCTGAATAGCCAAAGCAATCCTGAGAAGGAAGAATAAAGCAGGGGGAATCTTGCTTTCCAACTTTAAGCTCTACTACAAAGCCACAGTAATCAATACTATTTGGTACTGGCACAAGAACAGACCTTTAGACCAGCGGAACAGACTTGAGAGTCCAGATATAAACCCAAGCATATATGTCAATTAATATATGATTAAGAAGCCATGGACATTCAGTGGGGAAATGAGAGCCTTTTCAACAGTTGGTGTTGGCAAAACTGGACAGCTGCATGTAAGAGAATGAAGTAGATTCCTGGCTAACTCCATATACAAAAGTAAATTTGAAATGCATCAAAGATCTGAATGTAAGTCATGAAACCATAAATCTCTTTGGAAAAACTATAGGCAAAAATCTCTTGGACATAAATGAGTAACTTCTTCATGAACATATCTCCCTGGGCAAGGGAAACAAAAGCAAAAATGAACAAGTTGGGACTACATCAAACTGAATAAGCTTCTGTACAGCAAAGGACACCACCAATAGAACAAAAAGTCACCTTACAGTATGGGAGAATATATTCATAAGTAACAGATCCGATAAAGGGTTGACATCCAAAATATATAAAGAGCTCATGTACCTCAACAAACAAAAAGCAAATAATCCAATTGAAAATGGTCAGAGGAGCTGAACAGACAGTTCACCAAAGAAAAAATTCAGATGGCCAACAGACACATGAAAAGATGCTCCACATCACTTTTCATCAGAGAAATGCAAATTAAAACCACAATGACATATCACCTCACACCAGTAAGGATGGCCACCATCCAAAAGACAGACAACAGCAAATGTTCACAAGGATATAGAGAAAGGGGAACCCTCCTGCACCGCTGGTAAGACTGTAAACTAGTTCAACCATTGTGGAAAGCACTATGGAGGTTACTCAAAAAACTAAAAATAGAAATACCATTTGACCCAGGAATTCCACTCCTAGGAATTTACCCTAAGAATGCAGCAGCCTGGTTTGAAAAGGACAAATGCACCTCTACATTTATTGTAGCACTATTCACAATAGCCAAGAAATGGAAGAAACCTAAGTGTCCATCAGTAGATGAATGGATACAGAAGATGTGGTACATATACACAATGGAATGTTATTCAGCCATAAGAAGAAAACAAATCCTACCATTTGCAGCAACATGGATGGAGCTAGAGGGTATTATGCTCAGTGAAATAAGCCAGGTGGAGAAAGACAAATATCAAATGATTTCACTCATCTGTGGAGTATAAGAACAAAGGAAAAAGTGAAGGAGCAAAATACCAGAAGACACACAGAACCCAAGAATGGACTAACAGGTACCAAAGGGAAAAGGACTGGGGAGCACAGGTGGAAAGGGAGGTATAATGGGGGAAAAAAAAGAAAGGATCGTTATGATTAGCATGTATAATGTGGGGTGGAGGCACGGGGACAGCTGTACAACACAGAGAAGACAAGTTGTGATTCTACAACATGTTACACTGATGGACAATGCAATGGGGAATGTTGGGAGAACTTGGTGATGGGTGGAGTCTAGTAAACATAATGTGCCTCATGTAATTGTATAGTAATGATACCCAAATAAAAAAAAAATTAAGTGAGGAAAAAAGTAAACTTAGATTTCTCCTTCTACCAGAGGCTTTCCCCAGTGACACATATTAGAAAGACTTGATCATGTTCTTCCAAGCTATGTTTGTACCATTGACATAGTTTCTGGCTGCACATACATCACTGTAGTGTAGGTAAGACTTTCATCAGCATATACATGTGCTAGTCTTAGGGTTTATTTACAGTGATGTCTGAGTCTCAACTTTAATCTTAGTAAGTGTTTATTGAATGAATGAATGAGTGAATGAGCTAATAATATGAGGCATACTACTTTAAAAGTATGAATAAAGTACCATAGGATGACAGGATGGAGGTACAAAAGGCAGACTGTTGTCCATGCTGATACAACTTCTATCTTCACAGATGCCATGAAACAAGGTAGTCAGAATTCAGATCTTTAAAGCTTGTTCATTTTCGGCCAGCATATACAGAGAAGGTCCTTTGACCTGTCCACTCCTCAGATTTCCTGAGTAGTACCTGATATTTAAAAAAAGATTTATTGTTTTTTTCTGTAAGTCAAGTTTAAAAGCTAAATAAAGGTAATACCAGTTTGAATAAGTTTTAGCATCCTCAAACATGTTATCAACCTTTCTAAATAGAAACCTAACAGTCACTGGGTAAAGGAAGGTTGAGTGGAGGGAAGAGAGCTGGGAATCAGTTGAGGAGCCTGCATAATTGCAAATAAACTTTCTATACATCACACTTACAGTCGAGGTCTGACTTTATTTAGACTATCATTACGTAGAGCCATAGGTGCTGTTGACTGTACCTGACCCCCCACCTTCAGAAGAGTCATGTACTTGACATGTATTTTACATGTTTCTAATGATCATGATTATTGACTTTTTAAAACCAAAATTGTTTGTTCTTAAGGAGTTTGCAGACACTTCTGAATGATGAAGGCGATGGCTTTGGAGAAGTATTTTACATCTATTTTAATGTGAGTAACAGTGAAAACCAGATTACAGATCAGATTTAATCTGATTAACCCTTTACATTCTGATCTAAACATGTCACTCTTTAATAATTAAAGACAGACCTTAAATTAGCTCATGGAAAAGGTTTTTTTCGTCATTTTTCATGAGCTAGATGCATCAGAGTTTGCTATGGAATGAATAACACACAGTCGCTTGCTTAAAAGAGAAGATAATTCTGTGTGTTTCTGGGACGGGCTGATTTAGCTGGGCTGGAGGGTGTATAATGGCCTTGCTTACATGCCTGATTCTTGGCTTTGTGGGTTATCAGCTGGAGGAACAGCTTGTCTGCATTCTGGTGGTCACTCGTCCTCCAGGAGGCTATCTGAGGTTTCTTCCCAGGATAGTCTCAGGGTTACAAAGAGTAGGGAGAGATGGCAGGCCCCAACATAAAGGCTTCTTTCCAAACTTTTTCTTCTGTCAGATCCTCTGGCCAAAGCGACCACACCAGATTCAGGGGCTGAAGAAACAGTCTCCACCCCACCATGGGAAGTGTTGCAAAGTCACATTGCAGAGGGGCATGAGTACCGCAATGGGAGTAATTTGTGGCCATTTTGGTAATCTGCCATACTGGGTCTATATTATATAAAGTGAAAACTGAGATACGTGAATTTGCCAATAAATTGTTTTCAGTATAATCATTTAAAATGCAAATTATTTAAAAAATATATTTTTCATTCTACATAAGATGGTCATTATTTGCACATTCCTTGCTATTTTTTAATGGCAAAAATGTACATTTCTATTAATTCTTGAGGTAAAGTATTAGTCTTCACAGTGTCTTTCTTGATGATAAATTATTGATTATTTTGGAGATACTGAGTTTATTTATGGTTACAGGTGCATTGGGACAAAAGTGATGTAGACCTAATTCCTAATGGAAGTTGTGTAATTGTCAACCAGACAAACAAGTAGGTACAAAGAAATGAAGTATTTGTTTTGTTCATACACTGTATTTCACTGGGCTCTAAAAATTTCTTATAGTTACTATTATTTTCCATTCCCAAGTAATCGTTTTTCAATAAGGCAGAGAGTTGATGTGTATGTGTGTATGTCCCAAAGTTTATATTCTGGAAGGAAAAGGCTTTCTCAGGGAAAAATACTACTTTCCCTTATCATCCTGTCTAGAATTATACCGTCAGTCCCTCTCTCTGTTTTTATTCCCTCTCCCTGCTTTACTTTTTCTTGTTATATTACACATTACCTACCTTTAGGATTCTTTTGCTTATTTACATGTCAGTGTTTCCCCTACTCTAGTGAGCTGCATGGTGGCAGGAACTAGTCTTGTTTACCATTGTATATGCAGAAGCTGGAGTAATCTATAATGGGGCCGTAACACTCACTTAGTATTTCTTAGTATTATTAGATGTTACTGTGGTAGTTTGACTTCTCAGCTCCTTGTGGGGTGCCATTTAAAGCCACAGAGCTTGGGATTGTAGAATAGTCATACTGGCAAAGGAGATACCAAGTGAGCATTCTGGCCTATTATTTTTCTTGTTTTTTAATCTTTACTTGCTTTAAAAAAACTTTGTATTGAGTATAACAATACAGAAAAGTATACAACCTAAGTGTACAGATTAAGAAATAGAACATTTCCAGCTCCCTCTATATATTTATGAATATACTCCCAATTTAGTTGTAGTATTGATAGACATAAAAAGTTTCTCTGCCTCTTAACAACTACTTTTTGCCTCGTTCCTTTCCCTGAAAGAATTGACAAGTTTGCCCAAAGAGAAAAGCTGTAAAGTAAAATCCTGGGCTCACTTCAGTGAGCTTCCCTTCTCTTAGCCCACAGGACTTCTGAGGTATTGACTCAGACTTGGAGGCCTGGAGCTGGATGTGTTTTTGAGTATTATCTGGCTTTTTATAGTTCTTAACAGGTCACGTTTGCTATAAACTACTTCATCACACCAGAAATATAAATCCCTTCTTTGTGTTTAGCCACAAGTAATATTAATTACTGAAAAATTCAGATAATACAAAAAAGTATAAAATAAAATATGAAATCTCCCCATCTACCAAGCCCATTCCCCAGATCTCATCATTGTTAGCAGATCAGGCTTTATTCTTACAGACTTTTTCTATTCTCATCTATATCAGTTCCCCTAGGCATGTGACCCTGAGCAGTCACAACTTCACTATCTCAGTTTTTTCATTAAAAAGTCATAAGAGTCTGCCTTAAAGAGTTTTATGAGGATTAAATTTGATAATACATGAAAAATAGTTGTAACACATAGTAAGCACTTATTTTTATTCTCCTCTTCCCCACCCCCAATTTTGTTCAGGGTATTGCAGTAAGCTGAAATCATTTTTTTGTTTCATTAAAGGAGAGACTATGTTTCTAAGTGTGTTGATTACATTTTCAACATCTCTGTAAAGGCAGTTTATGACGAATTTCAAAGAGGCTTTTACAGAATGTGTGACAAGGAGATTATTGGATTTTTCCTTCCTGAAGAACTAAAGGATGTGATGATTGGAAATACAGATTATGACTGGGAAACATTTGAAAAGGTACATCAAGGCCAAGCAGTATGGATTTAAGTTTATGTTCTGTTTCCTTAACACTTTTTTAATTTTTTTGCATTTTTCTCTAGAATGCACATTACGAACAAGGATATGACAGTTCCCATCCCACTATAGTGATGTTTTGGAAAGCCTTACACAAGTTGACTATGGAGGAAAAGAAAAAGTTCCTTGGTAGGTTTTATGTCAGGAGTGGATCTGTGATTGTATATCTTTTTAGGAAGTATTTGTCACAGGCACCATTGGCACCAAGTCTTAGACCATAGGAGTGTAAGAGCCACTCCTAGTACAGTTGAATGTCCTCTGTGCCAGGTTGTCTCAACATCGAGAAAATACAGATCTCTTTCCACAGATTTCAACCCTGACTACTGCTTTTACATTTTCTTCTTGTCTTCATCCATGCTGAATACTGAGCCTTCTTACTGTAGTTGTGGCATTCAGTTATCCAGGCCCGTGGGGTTAGTCAAGCTGTGTAATGTCACTTGTCTCTAAACTACACCTTCCAGATTTGATCTGTTTTATGCCTGCTCAGTGGTTTTCCTGAGACTTGTCTCATGAGTTTCTCATTTTCTTACTCAATTTCCTTATGTTTGAGAAACATTAATTCTGTTGTTCTTATTTTTGTGGATACCATGTATCTTGGATCATACCCAGACTTCTCCAGAGGCCCAAACTAACTTGCCAGTCTTATCTCTTAGATGGGAAACCTTTGATGCACCCAAACGGTTCCAGTGTCTGTACATTCCTGCACTTACTTTGTACCCTTCTTCCACAGGCTTTCTGGAAGCTCCTTGCCCTGCCTTAAACTTTCACCCACCTCCTTGTTGCCTCTCTCAAACTTTCTCTCTTAGTTCTCCCAGTCCTCCCAGCCTGATGCTCCCTGCTCCGGGCCAAAACATTGGCACTCGGAGGGTCACTCTGTTCCATGGCACTTTGGTTGTCTTACACCCTTTTATTTTTCTCTTCTTGTTTGTCTCTTTCTATACAAGAATATAACCCCAACCAGACTATAAGCTGCTTGCGGGCAGTGGCTGTGTGTTAGACTTTGTCCTGCTGTGGCCCCAGTGCAGTCTAATGGAGGACTCTGCACATGGGCCCTCGGTAGATGTCTTTGCGTGAACATATTTCCTCTCTGTAAATTTTGATAACTGTGGAACAGATCGCTCAATTTTATTCTTTTTAGTGTTTCTTACAGGAACTGACAGAATTCAAGTAAAAGGTTTAAAGAACATGAAAATAACGTTTTGCTGTCCTGAAAATTTTAATGAAAAAGATCCCATAAGAGCACAGACGTATTTTAGTGTCCTCTTCCTCCCTAAGTATTCTACAATGGAAAGAGTGGAAGAAGCACTTCAAGTAGCTATCAACAGTACCAGAGGATTTGGCTGACCTACCTCACACTTTTTACATCTTTTTTGGAAATACTTTCAAAAATAAAATTTTCAACTCAAAAGTTAACATGAAAGTCTTTGCTGACAGTTCAGTGTGTTTACTTGCTCTTTTAGAACTGCTGTTTTTGTGTGTAAGACGTATTTAGTAATGATACAGATTAGGCTGTTAAAATAAGATAACCCCAAACTGATACATTAAGTAAGACAGAAGTTTGTTTTTCTTCTCATACGTCTGAGTGTTTTGTCCAGGGCTGAGGTGGTGTTTCTCCCACTTAAACTGCTCTAATGAAAGTTACAGATGACTTCCTTGTTACAGATTTCAGGGGGCGCTTGCCCATTTCTGCCTTAAATCCCACTGTTGCCTTTGAAACCATTGACTACTTTGTCCTCAAAACTGTCATGAACAAGACGGTGTTTCCTTTTTCTTGGTGCCTTTCACATTTCTTGGTATGCTTCTCTTACCCTTCCCTGACCTATAATGCTAGTGTAGAGATCTTCTCTCACTCTTTGCATACTCCTTCCCAACCCCATGGCCTCAGTTATTACTTACAGATGGGTGGTGTCTCTCTTACCTGCAGGAAACGGTATGTTTCATCACTGCAGCCATGTTTCTGTGTAGTCTGTGTCTCTCCCTGCGTTCCCCTTGGCTCCTTCATCTTGCCATGTTCAAGAAGAAAATGCTCCTTTTTCCTGTATCCTGCAGCTTGGAGTGGTAACCACCTGTATCTCCAGGCAGAAGCCTGCAGTTATCTTCCCTTCCTCCTCTTCACCCCACGTTCAGTCAGTCAAGTCCTGGCATTCTAGTTAATTATCTCTTAACCCCACTGCCAAAGCTCTAGTTCAGGCTCTCCTCACCTCTTGTCCCATCACTACCATTGTCTCTCAGTTGGTCCTCTTGTATCAGGACTAGCACTGTCCAACAGCCTTCTGTGCAGCTGGGTATCTTCACTGTTTGATGAGAAGACCACTGCCTCAGATAAGGTTTAGTCTTCATCTTTGAAGAATTTTGAAGAGAGAAACTTCACTGTCAGTAGTGGGAAAAACCAGTCTAGAACTTTGCTGTCTAATATATGGCTATTTAATAACATCTAAGATTCAATTCCTTGGTCACACTAGCCACATTTCAAGTGCTCAGTATCCTCATTTGATGGGCAGTTACTGTGTTAGTGCAGCTGAGCACTTGCCACTGAGAGGTCCATAACATACAACCCCTTAGATTTTTTCATGTTTTTTTTTCCTTGAAGAAGGGCCGTAGTGTTTTATCAGCTGCACAAATCAAAATGATGTAAACATAAGGCAATAAAGTCCAGTTTTGTTAACAGTCTTATTACAGCTCCCAAATCCATCCTGACATGCCCTCTTTACAGCTCCAGCCTGGACTCCCCCCGTTGCTCTGCATACACAGTGTACTTCATTCTAGTCATTTTAACTATTTTAGGTACCTGCGTGGACCACTGTCTCACATTTTTTCGTGCCTGGAACCCTCATCCCACCCTCATTCCCCTTCCTCACCTCATCTTCAATTCTGCTTCCTACTCTTGGTAGTTTCCACTCATTTCTCAGATTCACTTAAGCCATCATGGCTGTCTAGAAGATACCATGACACTGAAATAGTACATATTTACAACATAACCAACAGTTGGTGGAATATGGCTACCTCCCTCAGCTTTTCACAAGTGTCCAGAATTCCTTCCCTGTGCTTAGTTGACCATGAGTTAGCCAGAAGTGCCACCTAGTGGCATATGAGGAAGATAAGCAATCATTTCCAAACTGACCATTTCACTGAGGGACAAAACTTGGACAGGCCTTTCTCTCCACAACTGCAGAGAAGTAGGAATCTACTGTGGATCTTGGCTATGGTAGTTTAATATTTTCCACCTAGTTAAAACTTCCACCAGGTCTTGAACTAGGTATTTCCATCTTACAGATGCAGAGTCTGAAGTTCAGAGAGGCTTCCTTCCAGCCCATTGGGCAGGATTGGAAGAAAATGAAGAGGGAGAGTAGGTTATGCTGTCCTGTTGCTCCCTCAAAATTCTGACTCAGAAAGTGAGAAAGTGGGAAGGATCTTACAAGCTGGGTAAAGACTCACTGTCAGTGATGCAAATGACATCAAGGAAGATAACCTTGGTAAGAGTCTCTAAGGAGGCAAGATACTCTGACATTGTTAAGTCAGCTAATTATTGGAGAGGCAGAGTGCTAACAGTGGCTAAGAGTCCTAGTTCGTGAAAGAGACAATATTTCTCATGGATTTATAGTGCAACAACTGGAGGTGGTAGGCTCCATGTCATGGTGTGTGACTTGAGCTATGTAACGGGAAGCTAGTGAAGGAAAGTCCCCATAACAAATAGGAAGCCAGGATGACCTGCTAGCGAGGAACTTGGGAGAGAAACTAGAAAACTTGAAGAATTCCCAAGAAAGAGAGAGGGTAGTAGAAGTAGCACAACATAGTTAATAAAGTTTAGAAGACTTGAGACCTACATTCCATTTTTGGCCATGCCTCTAACCAGCACTGGACCCCCCACTTGGAACCACTAAGCATTGCTGGACAGATAGTGTTTTGTTTTGGGTTTTTTTGGTAAAAGCTTTATTGATAAATAATCCACACAGTCCAGCCATGTACAATGTACAACTCAATGCACTTACATTCACAGAACTGTGTAACTTGCCCCATTCACAGAACTGTGTAACTATTTCCATGATCAATTTTAGAATATTTTTCACTCCAGAGAAAACCAGTACCTTTAGCCATAACTCCACAATCTTCTCTTCACCTCTAGCTCTATGCAACTGTGAATCTACCTTGTTTATAATTTATAGATTTTCCTCTTAGAGACATTTCATGTAAATGAAATCCAACAATATGATTTTTATAACTGGCTTCTTTCACTTGGCATGTTTACAAGTTTCATTAATGTTGTAACATGTATCTACTTCATTCCTAAGTGGGCCAAGTACCACATTGTATTTATTGCACTGCATCGCAGCACTACATTGTGTTTACCCATTCACCAGTTGGTGGGTAGTTGGGCTGTCTTCCACTTTTTGGCTATTATAAACGATGCTGCAGTGAACATTTGTGCGCAAGTTTTTGTGTGGACATATTTTCAATTCCTTTGAGTGTATACCTAGCAGTGGAATTGCTGGGTTACACGGTAACTGTAATGTGGGACTACCAACTGTTTTCCAGAGAAGTTGCATCATTTTATTATATTCTCACCGGCAGTGTATGAGGGCCTGAGAAATCTCTTAAAACTTCAGATCTGTTCTTAAGAGTGCCAGTGAGATAGAGAAACATTACATCTTTGTAGCTCTATTCTTTTCCCCCACTTTTGTGCTGTATTGTTATGCTTATTACATCTACATGTTACAAAGTCAACAATACTTTGTTGTAATTATTACTTTCTATAATTGAATGTATCTTAAACAGAGAACAAGCCTGTATACTATACTTACCAAGTGTTAGGTTTTCTTGTGTGTTTCCTTAGGACAATTTCCAGGACTAAAAGTTTATCATTTTCATCAGTTGGAGTTGTTTCACCAGGAATTGGTCTGCAGAGCCCCTCATGATGCCATTGCAGAAGTCAGTATGGCTCAGTTCTTTACAAAGCACTTTCACATTGTAAAGTTTAATTTGTTCTCATGATTTTATGAAAGAAGCAAGGTAGGCATTTCTAGCCCTAAAGATGAAGTTCAGAGATGTTAAATAACTTGCCTATAGTTATAAAACCTGTTAAAGTCATGCGTTCACTTTTTCAGGAAGTACTCATTACCTGTTCTGTGCTATGCATTACATTAAAAATGTTGAATAATTTACTGTCTACACAAACAGAAAACAAGCAATTGCAGTACAGGTTAACTGCTAAAATAGATACAAATGTGGTACTTTAGGAGACGGTTAAGAAGGGCATCAGGCTTGAGGAAAAATTTGAATCCAAGCATTTTGATTCCTAATTCAATTTTTCTTATAAATGGAAAGGATGAGTTTACTCAAGAGAGGCATCATATAGTGGCTAAGGAGGCTGACTGAAAAAAGTCACATTGCCTGATGTTGTCAGCTCCAGTCCAATTATTGCTGTTACCCTGAGTAAATCACTTTATCTTTCTGTGCTTTCCTCACCTGTAAAATGGTGCTAATATAACCTAAGGTTGTAAGATTATAAAGATTCTATGCAATATGCTCAGAACTGTACCTATTGTAGTTTGTACTGTACAAATGATTGCTAAATAAATTATCTTAGTGATAGGCTAGAGTTAAAACTGAACTCCTCCAGGGGTATGCTTGTCAATTTCCTAAATGCTATAAAAGCTTGACATGAGCTAAAATTGAATCTTCAGAATACAGCACTTGTTCTGTCAGTAAACTTGTTTCATGTACACTGCCCACAGTGAGATTCAGGGTAAATTAAAAAGTAACTTCATTTCAGAAAATGACAGGAACCTCTTATCATCTCCCAGTTTTTTGTATATTGCTATCAGGCAATTTACTACAGTACAATATTTATATAGTTACAATATTTGCAATTGTACTATAGTATATATTGAATTAATGCAACAGAAAGTACTTCTAACTTCATTTTAATTTTCTTTTGAAGGGGAAGAATTACTGTCTAGACTGTTATACTACTTTATGATTCTAAGAATCAGTTAGGTTTATGTTCAATTCCTAAGTGTCTTTTAGGTAACTACTGAAACATTTATACCTCTGAAATAGAATTGTACTATCCTCAATCAGTCTTGTTGGAAGTTCTGGAAAATCAGGAACTATTATATTAATGTGTCAAATACTCATGCCCTTAATAGTGTTAAATAGGTCTCCTAAGGCAGAAAAACAAACAGGAATATAGTTCAAAATGTTGCTGAGCTCAATGGAACACAACCAGCTATTTGCAAGTCTTCCAACCAACCTCTACCCACTACAGTACATACACTCCTGGGAAATTACTCTATTTTGGGTATTAAATGCCTCTCTAAACATAGTCTACACATTAAAATTTGGAAAAGTATTACATTTTCCCTGCCTTAGAAACACATTCTTGTGACAAAAAAATGTAAATGCTGCAAACTATGGAAAAGTGTCAACATCTTATTTTATTATTACTAATGTAAGCATTTAATGCCAAAGAAATAAAGGCAATTTTACAAACTCATAATTTTTACAAGTACATGAAATTTCCATTTTGTTACGTAGTTTTACATCACACTAGTTCAAATTCATTTCTCCATAACTACTCCAGTGTAGTTTCTTTGGAATTATTTCATTCATCCTTAACATGGGACTTTACCAAAGACTTTAACCTAAATTAAACACATAAAATTTTAAATTTTTAACTCTTAGGCAAATGGCATAAGACATGGAGTCAGCAGGTGATGGTTGGGCCTGTTAATTTCCAACGAGACACTTTATTGAAATGTTTCTTTCAATACAGTGTTCATCAGTTAGAACCTTAAAGAAAAGAGGGCAGAACAAAAAGTACAATAAAAGAAACTTCTGCAGCTTAAGACTCCCATAGCCCTAAGCCTCTGACGGAAGCATGGCAAAGCATCTCCTGCAAATTAAGTTTGTTTCCAGTATTTCCATGTAGTTGAGTTTTCAGGAACAGATGCTCAAGACATATCATTTACATACCATCTTGGCTCTGGTTGCATTAATTATGCCTGAAGAGTTTAATACCCATCCAAGTCCAAAGGTGGAAGAACACATAAACTGGTATGGTAATCGGCAGGAGCAAACTGTAAAAGCACAGGCTGGTTGTGCTAGTGCAGCCCTGTGGGAAGTTTTCTTCCACAGAGGCAGAGTAGAAGAGTCCTGCTAAAGAGACCAATGGAATAAGTACAGTCAGCATAGGAAGAGACAGAAACATTCTTCTCCCCCACGTATTACCCACCACCCTTTTTAAAAGGTAGATGAAATTAAGTAAATTTGGTTGTTTTGTGTGCTGTCGTAGTTTTTAATTTTGATCTAGTGCTGCTCCTCTTCCTTTTTCTTTTGATGTGTCATCCTAGCTGCCTGTGGGATCATATTAGGAATCCCATCAGTAACTGGATAGGCTATTCCCAGCTCTTCGTTAATCAATTCGTTTGTTGATGCTTCATATCTGAGGGGGGAAAAAAGAAAGACAAAATCAACTGTGGAAAACAAAATGCTTGGAAAAACGTGATGTTCAATAAACACCACCACTTAACCAATTCTGGATGTAGAGTTAATCCCAGAGAAAAATTAAACTGCTTTTAATTCTAAAAGCAATAACAGCCAATTGAACCATTTTCTTAGAAAATGAATTCTAATCATTTACTATTCTGGTCAGTTTATCACTTATTTTCTTTTTCACTTTATTCTGAAGCAATGCCTTAATTTTTTTTTAAATACCAGTCAAGAAACTTTCATCCGAATAGTCCATTACTCTGGTCAACTCCAAAACAAACCATCCCCTTAATTTGCTACTGGAAAAATTAAACTTCCTCTTTTTAGAATACATGCTTTACCAATCCATTAGAAGGAAATCACTGAAAAATCAAAATACACAAAGTTTGAGAAAGATGAGAGAGAAATAAAGCCATTTTGATAAGCAGCAGGTCTGCAGTGAGCTAGTTACACAATTTGCTAAAAGGCAGATCAAATCGTAATTTCAAGGTTTAAGAAAACCGAATGAGCAATATATTCATAATGGGAAAAATCTAGAAAGAGATGCAAAAAGATGAAAATAAAAATAGCAATCTACACCCAAAGATAATCACTAATAACACTTTGGTGTATAGTATATTGCCTTTGCAATACTAATGTTGTCAACGTTCTGATTTAGCATCCGAGAACTGCAGCTCTGTTTTATCCTAAGGACTCTGGGCTAAAGGTTAAGGAGCTAGTCCAGAACTAAGCAGATGGGCAGCACAGTTTAAAAGCTTAAGATCGGCAGGCATGAGTTGTACACTGCATTTCCACAAAAATCTGGAGGCCACAACGGTATTTTTCATATTTCCTTAAAATCTGAATGCCTTGGACTAGTCCTAAATCCCAAACAGTTCATAAATTTGGCTGTACATTAGAATCACTTAGGGTCCTTTTTAAGAAAACAAGATTGCTCAGAGCCAGCTTCTATTCGGTCCTCCGGGGGTGGTGCCCGGGAGTCGGCATTTTTGAAAACGTGCCCTGGCGACTCTAATACGCAGCCAATGGCAAACTCACAAGACAACTCCGATCCTTCCGTGGGTCGGTGGTCTGAGCTGGGAGGCCTGGGGCTCCGCTTCCGTTCGGCCTCCTCCAGCCCTTCCGCCGCAAGAGGGAGGAGCACCGGAGCTCGCCCGGCCGGGGTCCAGAAAATAGCAGCGGAGAACGCCCGAACTGAGCTGGGAGGCTCCCCGCGGGCTGCGAGCGGCCGCGCGGTCCGTCCCCTGCAGTGGGAGGCCACGGGGGGAACCCGCAGCAGGGTAGTCTCACCTGACTGGCTTTTTGGACAGCGGGCACACCAGGAACTCCAGCAGCGCCAGGTCGAAGGCCCTGGGCAGTCCCTCCGTCCTCTCGCTCTCGCCTGGCGACGGCCGCCGCCCAGACGCCTGCAGGCACCTACTGGCCACGGCAGACCGCGGCGCGCGTGCCCGCCGCAGGGCTGAGCCGAGCCGGCCGCACGCCCTGCTCAGCATGACCTAGCAGGCGCCGGCGATCGCAACTCGCTGCACCCTCCACCAGCCTGAGCCGCTCCCGCCGGTCCCAGCGGGCCCCGCCCTGCTCCGCCCCCGGTGCGTGGAAACGCCGTCCTGGAGCAGACGGGGACTAGCACTTTGGTTCCGGGAGCACTCCGGACCCGATTGCTACGCTCGGAGCCGCGTTCCGTAGCTAATAGCGCGCCCTACAGCCGGTGGACTTTGGTGACTGTTCACTGTATTTACAAATTACAAACAAAACCAAAGCCCAGTCGGGTTGTGTTGCGTTTTCCCCAGGGCCTGTCGCCGGGGTGCCAGGAAACCGATGGTCGGACCTCAAATTCTCAGTGAGACTTGGACCCACGTGGTTATCTCCAAAATGAGTTTCAAGTACAATTTCATATTGGGTACGTTAAAAGCATTAATTGTTTTACGGAAATCTTTACTTTGCCATAGTTCCTGCAACCTTGTTTGGGACTTTTCCCCAGTTCTCTCATTTAAAAAAATTAAGAACCTGAAAATGGCTTAGGCCTCTAAGACTTCAAGACGTCATTTTCTTACCCTGTGGGACTCATTTTGAATTTAGTTGCATAATAAAACACAACTGATTTACTTATATAAATGAGCTTGGAGACAGCAAGGGGTCTGTGCATCAGGCAAATATTCATTAGTTAAATGGGCCACCCATTCAGTGGATTTTCTCACCCCATGTTTGCTCTGACTCCCCGAAGGGGTGATGGGGGTTTGATCTCTTTCTGAGTTAAGAGCATGGGCCCTGGGGCCTGGCAGCTTGGTTCCAAATTCTTAGTTTACTAGCAGTGTGACTCCAGCAAATGGTTTAACTTCAATTTCCTCACCTGTCTAATAAGACTAATAATTGAACCTACCTCATGAAATCCCCTCTTGGGATTAAAATGTGATAATACATGCAAACGGCATTTAGAAAAGTGCCTGGAACAAATTAATGCTCAATTAACATCATCTTGTGATATTTATTTCCTCTATTCTTCCTAAATCAATATACTAAAAGATTCTTTGTTAGTCATCAGCTATTTCCCCTGTTTTGCTCAATACTGACATTATCAGGCTTTATTATTTCACAGTTTGAGCTTCTGGGATGTAGGGGTGGGAATGAGGAATGCACAGATACAAATAGAAGATAATGTTTTAAAATTTGTCTTCCACTCGATTTAAAAATAAATTGGGAAAATTTTATATTTGTTCACTCTATTTTAAAATATCTACTACACTATTTGATGTTTTTGTTCACTAATGCTCAAAAGAGTTCAACATAGGGTAGTTGTCAAGGTTATAGTCTCAAGAAGGATTATTGTAGAGTTCCTGTTACCTTCACATTATTTCCTACTAAGGCAGTAGTAGGAATTAATTTTTCAGTTGTAGTTAGTTGATACTTTGGGCCCTAGGGAGGCAGTGAACCATAGGAAAGATACGTTTCAGTCAGGTGTGGGGAAGCAAAGCCTGAGGTCTGCCAGCACTGAGTGGGCCCAGGCCAGGCTGGGCAGGCTGAGGGTAGCGACAGATACCCATGCTGGAGACCAGTTTCATTAGCTTTAGCAGGCCTGGCCTGCCTGACAGATCCCTATCAACTGGGTTTTCTAACCAGTTATAAATAAATTAGTTTCAGTTTGCCTCCACCTAGAAGTTTGGAACCATATCAGTTTACTTTAATCTATATTAGTATTGGAGAAAAATGGAGAATAACAGCAAAGTATTGATAACACCTTCAGAATTATAATTCCAATAATCCACTATATTTAAGGAATGTGTGAGTGTATGATGTATTAGTTCAAACCATGTAAATATTAAGTTGCAAAATGTCCCTAAATAGCCCTCAGTAAGTAAGGAATATTAACTAATTTCTGCACGTAGCTGAATGTAGGTGACAGTATGGGATTGTAAAATAATGAGTTCTTTTATACTATTGGCATGACTGATCTTTCCCATAAAACAGCCCTCTGCACACACTTAATAACCTCATAAGCTCCAGGCTTAGGTACCATATTTGCTGTGTGACCTTGGGAAAGTTACTGAAACTCTCTCCCTCAGTCTTCTCATCTGCAAAATAGACTAATAGTACCTACATTATTAGAGTTGTTCAGAGGATTAAAACAACAAAAGGGAGGAAGTTAGCACAGGGGCTGGAACAAACTAAACATTTAGGGAATGTTAGTAGCAAAATCACTTATTGTGGTGAATTCGGTGAAAATTCTGATGAAACAAGAAAACACAATGTAGCAGGGGCACCTTAATTTTAATTGGCATGGAACTTTTAGTTTCTAATGTGAATAATATTGAAACACAACACCTCAGCTATCATACATTTCTATGTATGAATTAGAAATCTCCAGGCAAAGGAGACTCTAGAACACATTTTAATAAAGTCCCATAAATACCAAATTTGGGGTTACTGAAATATGAGAATCTCTGATCCAGAGAGAAAAGTAAATAAAAATCAGTTTTCCACTAGGTGGCATCATCCAGTATTTGAACTGTTGCTTCTTGCTTGCACTTTTCTTTCTGTGATTACAAAGATTTGCTTTTATTTAGCCAGTTGTCTCCTTAATTTGAAGACATCTATTTTAGGAACAACAACAAAAAATCACAAAAATTGTAATAAATTGCAATAATGAGTTTGCTAAAGAGTCTAATAGATAAATGGACAAAAAGTATGAGAAAATTACACAGGAGAGAAAGTACAGTTCATCAATAAACACATAAAAAAGCTTATCCTCAAGCTTAGGTGTTAGGTAATCCTCAGGGTTATGTGATGTCGATGGTGATGGTAACGGTTCAGTTCCAGGGGCCTGGGCTAGGGTTAGGATTAGGTGTTCGGTAAGGTGTAAGGGGAGGCTAGGGTTATGGTTAGAGTTCGGGTCTGGCTCTGATATGAAGTCAAGGGCGAGATTGAGGTTCAGGGTTATGGTGAGACATGGGTGACATCAAAGGTGATGGTAAGTGGTCAGGTCCAGGGTCCAGGGTTAGGGTTAGGATTAAGTGTATGGTAAGGTGTACTGGGAGGATAGGGTTATGGTTAGAATTAGGGTCCAGCTCTAATGTGAGGGTGAGGGCAAGATTGAGCTTCAGGGATATGGTGAGGTGTGGGTGACATCGATGGTGACACTGAGGGGTCAGGTCCAGGGGCCAGGGCTAGGGTTAGGGTTTGTGTTTGGTAAGGTGTACGGGGAGGATAGGGTTCCTGTTACAGTTAGGATCAGGCACTGATGTGAGGGCAATAGAGAGATTGAGGTTCAGGGTTATTGTGAGGCATGGGTG